AAACAACCTTTTGTTTATATGTTTTATGAATTTCTTTTATATCCTTAAACACTAATCGTGCATATGACAGGAAATGTTGCCGTATATGTTAATTCATTTTATATAGGTAAAATAGGAAAATACTGAAAATAACACTTTTATGGTACGTTAACTATAAAATAATGTTGTTGCGTTTCATATTATGAATTAATTATGAAAACCCTGATTCAAATTATTCGGTATGAAATAAAAATAACTGACGGTTAATCTAAAAAAATTAACACCTGGTGGGCGTTTAATTAGATAAGAATGCTTTTGAGCGGTAATTAAGCATTTCTTGAAATTTACACTATTTTTTATCCTAATGCCTTAAAAGAAGACAATTTAAGAACTTCAAGTGAATAATGTTTGAATGCTTAAACATTTTAAATTTATTCCTTTTTATTCTCTTAAATGTGGTAAACTTTAGAACTTCCTTTTGTTGCACTATCCACTCTAGGGTATATATATATATATATATATTATTTCTTAGAAGTTTTAGTTGGAGCTTTAACAAATCCAGAGTTACTTGTTGGAGCGTTAACAAGAAATCTGTTTTTCTCTTTTCTTTTTTGTCAGACCGATGCTTACCGTGTTCTATTTCAAAAGTTCGTCTAAAAACGCGCCAATGAAAACGTTCGACTATAGCAGGAATCTCGAAGTACTTAGAGAAGTAGTAAGACAGGAAAAAAGATTTGAACCTGAATAAGGTTTCGATAAAAGCATGATTCAAAGACCATTACTCGTAACAGAGCACGAAAGAACGAGCTGATTTTTCCAATCTCTTGTAAAATACGCACAAATTGACAAAGAAAACTTAGTCGCAAATAAAAACTATCACCCAATACAGATATCTGGATAGAAACCTTAAAAATGATTGGCAATAGTTTTACTGGGGTACAAGCAGAGTTTGCTTATTACCAGAAAATATAACTTAAGATTATGGAACTTTAGGATAACTATAACTCATATACAGAGTGAATCAGAAGTTCATTGAGAGCAAATAATTCAAAAATGAGGAGATATAAGAGAATATTTATTGTGTTATGGAATTAGGTGTTGTGGGCTTACTACCATATAACTATAACACTAAGGATCTTCAATGTCATCTTTTTAAAAGGTTCAGCCCTTCGAAAATTTTATCAATATCCATCATACACCTAAAATACCGATGGCAAATATTTAGAAAATAGCAAATTAAATATTTTAAACCTAAAATTATTGAAATCAAGAATAACAGTTATAGGCATAAATGCACCCCTTCCATGCTTAGAGCTGTGCGACAAAAGATCGAAATCCCATACCATAGGAAAAGCTATTACACAAACCCTAATTTAAGATGCAAGGTCAAAATTTTGCATAAGTAGGTTATTGCAACTTTAAATTGTCCAAAATGATAAAACAAATTAAAATAAATAATAAAAAAATAGATGATAGGAGATGTATGTCAGAGGCTGGGTATTACAGGCTCATTTACGTATAGACATTGTGCGGACATACCAAAAACAACAATAAATATTGACAATGAAGTCTCTCTGTTGGCATTTGTTACATTTGAGCGAAAACTTGCGAAAAGCTCTTGATTGTTTACTGCTCCTTTATAATACTGTTATTGACTTTACGTTATCTACATGCATACCTATAACTGTCGTTGCTGTGTAGTGATTTTGATATCTTTTAATTTCGATTTTTTTCTCTTTTTGTTGTCTCCATCTTTTCAGTTGACAGTTTACGTGTATGATGCGTATTGATAAATATTTCAAAGGACATGACTTTGAAGTTGGCCTTTAATCACCCCGATGTTAACGTCAAGAGTAGCCCTACAACACCTCATTCTATACCATTTAACAATAATTTTCCTATACTTCCACATTTCTGAATTATTTGCTTGTCAACGGACCTTTGCATTTCCTGCTTGATATATATATATATATAGAGAGAGAGAGAGTAGTTTAATTAGGTTTAGAGTAGTTTGTTTGTTTGTATTCTCGCAAAGCTACACGAGGGCTATCTGCGCTAGTCGTCCCTAATTTAGCAGAATGAAAGACCGGAGAGAAGGCAGCCAATCAACAACACCCACCGCCAACTCTTGGGCTAGTCTTTAACCAACGAATAGTGGGATTGAACGAAAAAAATTATAACGCCCCAACGGCTGAAAGGGCTAGCATGTTTGGTGGGACGGTGATTGGAACCTGCGACCCTCAGATTGCGAGACGAGCGTCTTAACCATCGGCAGAGAGAAGACCAAGGCTTTGCCACTATTGCAATAATACATAAACTCAGATGGAGTTTCTACTCCAACAGCCACCATAAGGCTGATATGAAGAGCCGTTACTTGGGTTATACCCACTTCCTACTTTGACCCGTGACCTTACAACTTCGGGCCATAAGACACTTCTGCGGCCAATGACCGTCAATTAATTAATAACGTGAAACTGTGTGGAAGGACATTAAGAGTCGGGTGTTGAAAGCGGTAACAGAAAGCACACTTACCGCCATTACTTTGGCAGCTACCTCTTCATACAAAGTCAGCATGACCATATCACAGTGTATACTATGTTTTAAGTATACACATAGTAAGTTCTTAAACCTTATACAAAACTTTTGGGGAGGTAATAATGATTATTGTAATAGCATGCATATTATGTTATAAATAAATTGTGTGAAAGTTAGGATTTTTGTGTTTTTTATCATAGCATCCACCCCACATTTTTTTTAAAGTTCGTAACTCGGACAAAGAACGGGTACGCCAACTTGTAAGTCAATAATTATAACACTATCAAATACATTAATTATAAATAGGCGATTTTTTAAATCAACACTATAAAACAATGATGGTGAAATTAATATTAATCAAAAACGTTACAAATTGATTCAAAAATCAAAATTAATTTTTCAATTACCAGTCCTTGTTGTCATCATTAAGTCTCATACCGGATATTATATGTGGACATAGCACCCAAACACGTTGGGGATATTCCATCTATCAGACAAGATCCAGACGCCGTTGACAAACTAGACAACAACTAAGGAAAATCAGTTAAGGGTTAGGAGTTGAGTGCTTTAACCCATAACGTCTCAACTCTTACCAGCAACGAAAGTTGTATTTGTCACAGAATTGTTTTGTTCTTTCTTACCATCCAGCTACATCAAAGTAAGAAATCTTATCGCAAACAGAGTTAAGAAAGATATTAGCAAAGTGCTAAAATGTCCATTTTTACCTTATGTTGGAATAGGCTTTTACTACCATGGTTTATTAACTTTCTTTTATTTTATATCATTTTTAGCAAACCCTTATTTCGGACTATCTAAAAACATAATTATACAGTTGAAGGTAATAATTGTTTTATAAATACAATAATATCATAGGTTATAAATTTGAATCCATAAAATATTTTGTGATTTTGGTATAATTTTTTCTGTAGACTGTTTGTTTCATTTCAAGATAGTTTATGTGACCTACAGTAGATAAAGGACTGACTCAATAATTTTTGACAGATGAGGATTTAACACTAAGCTTCTTTTCTGTAAGCTGCACACGTCTAGGATTAGATGAATTTACCTCATCTCATGTCCTAAGAAGTGGTGGGCGTTTAATAATTTGTTCTTCAAATCAGCCCAAAACCAGGAACGTTTTTTTTGTTTCTGATGTATATAGGTTTAATAAGTTCTCAATGGTACATCATACTTTTGTTAACTTTATCTAAGTTATAAAGACAGAGTTTTAATTTAGTGTGTTTATTTAACTTTATTTACGTTCTACAGGTAGTTTACTTAACTTTATCAGCATTGTACAGAGAGTCCTATTTACGTATGTTTACTTAACTTTGTGTACATTGAACATAAGAGTCCTATTTATTTATAATTATATAACTTTATCTACATTGTATATAAAATTTCTATTTACGTACATTTATTTAACTTTGTTTATATCATATAAAAAGAGTCCATTTTATGTATTTATCCAACTTTATATTTATTGCACAGTAAGTCCTATTTACGTATATATATTTAACTTTATCTATATTGTAAATAAGAGTCCGATTTACGTATATATATTTAACTTTATCTATATTGTAAATAAGAGTCCGATTTACGTATGCTTATTTAACTTATCTGGAGTTCAAACCGAGAATTTCTTATTTAACTTTGCGCACTTTATATGGGAAGTTACTCCTATTTAATAATGCATTATTTGATATTACTGTTTGGTTTCCAATGTTTCGTCAGCTTTTGCCATTCAAACGTTAACTTTCAAAGTTCCTGCATTACATATATAAATAATATTTCAGATAAACATTTGTCTCTCATCTCCATCTCAGCTCGAATAAATTAAAATATCCTGAGTAAAGATTGTGTAGCAAACAAAGATAGTTATGAAATACTACTTTTATACATCTTTTGTTTAAAATAAGCAATGGACAAATGAAGAGCAATGTGATAGATAAACGTACAGATTAACTTGGTCCATCTAACTTTGTCTAAATCGTGTACATATGTGAATAACTGGATTTGAATCACATCACACTATTTCAGAAATAGAATGTTTTCTAATTAAAATATTTTTTATCACCAGCATCTCCTGATGGAAATTTTATCAACCTTAATAGAAATAAACAAGATAAAGTCGGTATACTGTAATCGCGAGTAAGATAAAGTAACTTACTTGAACCAGTCAAGTAATACGGAAATAATATCTACTTTTTTGTACTAATTCTGCTATGTTATTACATTTCCAATGAAAGTATTGTTTTGTTTTAAAGTGAAGTATTATTACGAATTAATTAACGTACTGAAGAGAATTATTTTATATTTGGAGCTTATCTACAATTCTTTGTTATTTATTAATTATTTTTTTCAAATAACTAAAGCTTCCAATTATAAAATTAATTTAACTATATTGAAGCTAGATACACAGCTGTGGAAATATTCCTACTAGCAAGTTTTGTTTTTCTTATACTATTTGTTATTTAATTTATTAGATATATGGCTATCATGCACCCCTTAAAGCCCCGGATGTCCCGAGTGACCACTCTCAACATCACCTTGTGGATATGGGTTGCAAGCAGTACCCTGTCTTTACCGAATATACTTTACTCGACAACTATGAAGGAAATTTACCCAAATGGAGACTATCGTGTTATATGTTACATGATATGGCCTGACGGACCCACCACTCAAAGCTACACAGAATACATGTAAGTCTGAAAGTTTAAGTTTCGTCTCTGAGCCCCTAAATAAGCTCCATAACACCTTAATGTGTTTCTAAGGTTGTGATTCAAGTGTGTCTTAATCCGGTCATGTTTTACATCCAATGATTCAGAATACTCTAAGAATCGATCTTATGTTCGATCGGAAGTTTTAAATCCCATTCAGTTAAAAATGAACACCACATCCAGGAGTGAAACATCCGAAACATCATTAGTTGGTGTTATATAGTGTAGAAGAGTTAACAGTTTCTTTACTAAAGTAGTCTCAGTAAAATCAAAAAATCAACAAGAAATAAAACCTTAGACTTACTATTTTTATAGTCTTATAATTGTTATCCTATCTAAGAAAGTTCCTTTACTATACCTGGTAACTTGTTTAAATAAATTTATTAAAAGGCGTTAGTTACCACTTAGTTGAAGAAAATGCTGTCTCATTCTAAAAATAATCATACAAAATCAGACATTACCTCTGGACACATTAAGGTTTTTCCTTCACCTTTGTACAGGTATTGAAAGGATGTTTGATGTGCAGCTAGGAAAGAGAAGCGAAAATGCTTATAGTCCCAACTTCTGAAATACTATTTATAAGATCCTATGAGTGAAAGTAAAGAAGAATGTAATAATATGTCAACCACGCTATATATCTACTATATCCAGTGCCGACTGGGCCTTTCGCCCAATACCAACAACAAATGGTTCGGTGTGAACTAGATTAAGTTGGTGAACTTAAGTTTCTGATTTTTATTAACACCAAATTGCTCATTATTATATTATTTATTTATTCATTTTACTTGAATTAACCTTACTCATAATTCATAAAAACTCGCAAACCAGAAGGTTAATTTTTTTGAATCACCTAAAAAACAAAAACAAAATTGAACTATCAAGACACACATCAAAAATTTTACATTTCTCTATAGTTCTCTTCAAAAAGAAAATGTGTGTGCATATCAATATGAAATAGGCATAAAACGTTTATTCAAGTTAGTAAACTATAAACTATACAAGAAATATTCTAATACGATTTCTTAAAGTTATAACCTCACTTATTTCATGGTAAGCCTTGTAGACAGCGTTGCCGTACTACGAATTTGAAGGTCCGTGGTTCGCGTCCGATTAATGCAATATCGCATTAGACATTTTGAAGCTGAGACTCCTGGGAGCACTCTGTAAGAGAGACGGGTAAATCCTCTATTCAGTTAGAAAAGAGTAGCCTAAGTGTTTGCTGTGAGTGCTGTTAACTAACACCCTTTCCTCTAATCTATCAGTTAAACATTAGGGACGGCTAGCGCATATAGCCTTGTGTAGATTCGCGGTAATATACGAAACAAACAAAGAAATAACATGTATATACATATTTATGTTTAGGTGTTGATACAGAGGTTGAGTACGTTATATTAGAATTATTTTGGAGACTCAACACCTTGTTACAATCAATGTCGCCACGTCCGGTCATGGTTTAACTGATTATTATTTACAACGTACTTTCCGTCGTAAGGCTTTCATGTCAAAAGCACACCCTTCCTTTCTCTTGGCTTTTCGTATGCTATCTATTGTACGGGGACAGCGGTTTCCCAGCACCCGTATCACCAGTTTGATAAAACAGTGCTTCATAGGTACTTCGTACAACGATTTGACTGATGTTTTTGTGTGGAATGACATGTATAGCCGTTTCGTTCTCCAGCTATTTAAGGTCTGCATCGGTTAAAAAAATATTTCGTAGAAGCAACATCTATGCATGTGACTTACGTCACTTTTCCAGACAGAGCTCCTTCTTGATTATGCTGTGTATTGTTGTCTTGGCACAAAGACGACTTTTGCCACTGATCTTTGTGGTCATGATTCTCACCTGTTACAAGCTGCCTCATTTGGCCACCAAGGCGATTTATAGCCGCGGCATAGCGGCTCATATAATGGCTCCGAGTTTGTTTTTTTTATCAAGTACAAACTTTTAGCTCATAGCTCCATCTCTTGACCGATATGAGATCGAATAACAACTGCGGCTATTGAGGATTCCCATTTGTTTCCATTTATCTTTGTGTTTGTGATTATGACCTGTTACAAGACGCCGCATTTGATTACCACGGTTGGGGCACGCTTCTTTCAGGTCTCTTTCCAGATAGCCCTGATGTCCCAAGTTGATCCACATTCCTTTGTTTTCTGATGACATTAATTATAAATTCCTGATCTGAACATACTTATATGATTTGGGTGTATAAATGCTTTGCGTCGGAAAAAGGCTGTTAAATAACCTTCCAAAAAAGATATATTTTCGGTGACATTTCAGTACCTAAAAAACGCCAAATAATGTCAAAATGTAGTTGTGATACAATCCACTCCACCGCGACTTTATATCAACTGTCGTTGTCACGTGAATTGCTGATTTGCATATTCAAAAACTGTTTTAATATAACGTACTAAACTCTCATAAAAAAGCTAGAATACAACTACAGGATCACAGAATTCAGGATTTATAAGAACTGAAATTTAAGTGAAACATATAAGACCGTGAGATTGCCGTACTCACTCAGTTCTCTACAGTAACGTTTTTGTTATTTTGTTTTGAACATGTACTTGAAACAAAAAAGGTTACACAGAATAAAAAAGCTATATTTCTACATAATTCTGACTTGAACTTTGTTTTCAAATATAACCATCAACTGTATAAAGAACCTCGGTATATTCCTATCAGAGTATCAACTACTGATCTAGTTCTAATCTATAATACTCTTTCATGCTTCATCGATTCCCCATTCACTGTACCCCGTGGGACAGCGTTAAGTCTACGGAATTTCAACGCTAAAATTCAGGGTTAAATTCCTCGTGGTGGACTCAGAAGATAGCCCAATGTGGCTTTGCTATAAAATAATCAAAATCAAACAAAACTCTTTCAAGATATTCAAATGTACGTTTACTAAAGCCAAAGTATATGATATCACCAAAGATAAAGCAGGATTTGAATATACACGAACGATATTTTGAAAAAAGGTATCTTTGATGAACTTTTACCAATTATAAGAGTACATAGACAAGGAAAAACAAACTTTCTATACCTTCCACTAGAAATAAGTGACTTAAATACTGAATGGGGGGGGGTAGTAGTCAGCGGGGAATGGTCATACGTTTCTTTAAATTTCAAGATATTCTGACATTTCACTAGAAATAATGACTTAAGTATTGAATGAGAGCTAGTAGCCAGCGGGGAATGGTCATACTTTTCTTTAAATTTTAAGATATTCTGACATTTCACTAGAAATAATGACTTAAGTATTGAATGGAGTTAGTAGCCAGCGGGGAATGGTCATGCTTTTCCTTAATGAGATCCCGTGTCTCCGATGAAAGATTCACATGAAGTACACGTGAAACAGAAGGAAAACTAATCCAAAGTCCTTCAAAAGCTTAGTCTCTTAGGAAATATCTAACGCTACTTTAATTTGTTTTTTTTTTCCTTCTTCTTCATAACTAATAAAATATCCCTTTACATATATAATTAAAATAATAGAAGCCTTCGTATCACTGCTACTACCAACTCATCCCTTCTTTCTGAAAACCGCCGACCTTCAAAGTTAAGTTCCAATATCGAATTAAAGTCTTGGAAATTTTACTCATTAGCAAGTATGCATTATTTAGAGAATATACTTTTTTCATATTATAAGCAGAGTGAAAGGTTTTGTTTTGTTTCTTAAAGTAATTACGCCTCAACAGAATGTTTTTTTTAAAAAAAAGGTGATTTTTTTATTTGAAAAAAACGCAGGTTAAAATTTTATTATGTTCAAAGGAGAAATTTCTTCTTAAAAGTGAGCAATTATAGTTTCAATTTTTTATGATTTTAATTACTTTCACAAACAGTTCATTTTGGGAAAAATAAGCCTAAATAAAGTTCACAGAAAATCTTTCGCTAAATGTGCTGACTACGAAACTAACATCAGTTCTTGGTTTGTTTTTTGAATCCTGTAAAGGATACCTGTACTAGTCGTCCCTAATTACGTAATTTAGACTATTCTTGTCACACCATCACTCTTATAATGCACTGATCACAAAATGGATTTGTTTTGTTTTGGAAT